AGAGTCCGACATGAGCTTGAACCCAGGAACCATAAGATCGTGATCTGGGCAGAAGTCCAAGCTCAATTGCTCAACAGACTGAGCCCCCCAGGTGCCCCTGCAATGCAAATATATTCTAATGAGTCTAGGAGTTAGCCAGGGGCAGTGAGGGAAGAGGATAGCCTGTGTTAGGCTGTGGGTCTATCAGGCCCAAGAACTTGGAAGTCACAAGGTTGGAATGTTGTGTCCCTGGGCTTTTAATGTGTAGCTTTTTTATCACCATCCCGGCCTCCAGCTCCTGTCTCTATTATTCTTCCTTCTACTGCTTTTATCTAGTTGCTACCTAACATCTTGTCTTTTTAATGATGGCCATTCTAACAGATGTGAGGTGATATCTCAGTGTGATTTTGATTTACATTTCCTTGATGACTAGTGATATTTTTATGTATAGATTGGCTATTTGAATGTCTTATTTAGAAAAATATCTTTTCAAGCCCTCTGCCTATTTTCAATCAGATTATTGGTTTTGGGTTGTTGGTTTTTTTTTTTCTTTTTTTGGCAGCCTTGAGTTATAGGAGTTCCTTATATAGTTTTGATATTAACTTCTTGTCGGATATATAATTTCCAAATAAATTGCAACATTCTTAAATTTCTCATTCTGTGGAAATAGTCTTAGGAATTCCATGGAGTCAGTTTACCTCAAAGTCTGGTGGGGAAAGAATAGACCAAGGTCCTTAGTCAGGGCTCTCTATCACAATTGTATTCACAGGAGCCTGGAGCTCTAAATAATCCTAAAAATTTCAAAGACTCCTTCTCTTAAGAAGGACACATTTCTCATAGCCAGCTTTCTAAGTCAGGAGCTAATAATACCCTCAACCTGCTTGCCTTTTGCAGATATGTGTGACACAAAGTACAGATAATTTCTGCTGAATTGAACTTGTAATGAAGGAATTTATAATCAGTTCTAATGTATTTGAGACCTAAAGTATATTAGCCCTTCATCAAAGAGAATGATAAAAAGCAGCATTAATATGGGTGGATAGTAATTATTTCAGAGCCTCATGATTATTCTTCAGTTAACCACAGAGAAATGCTGATATTTTTATACCTTTTTTAAAAAAAATAAAAGGCACTATGGTCGGATCCTAAAACGTATGCCTGTATCATAAGTCCTTTGTAAAGTTCAGTACTTTGAATTATGCTCATAATAATGGCAAAGGAATTATTTTGGATTTAAATGAGTTGAAAGTTCATGGTTAGGAGTTCCCTTTACCTTCCTAGTCTTGTTGTTTTACCACTGAATCTATTTACTGCCTATAAGAGATATAAAATATAGTAATTACTCTCACACCCTTTCAAAATGACATGAGGTCCACTTTCCTATTAACTCTAATGAGAGTTATGTGTGCATTCCTCAAGGAGGACAGATCCTATAGAGTTTCAAGGTAAAATAAATCACTTCTTCAGGTTTTAAAGGACTCATTCGCTTTATATTTTGGTGCTTTAAGATACCCATTTAACCTGCTGATATCGAAAATGCAGTTTGTAGTTTAAAAGAAGCATACACTGTGGTTGGAATGTGGTTAATGATTGCTATGTATTTTTGTTGAAGGATAAATGTTTTAACCTTTGTGGAAATCATGTTGATCAATTTATGTGGTCTCTAAAATATGGTTTCCTAATTCTCCTAGGATTATTAATGACAATTACCTCTTACTATATTTTCTTTCAATTAAGAAAAATTTAACATCAGTATTTATACCAAATTATGTAAGTTTAGAGTAAAGAAAAAATGAGCCCGTGTTGCCGATATCTAAAAAGAAGGGAGCTCAAGGTAACAGACTGTTTTCCTTCTAACCTGAGAATAAGGAATCTTGAGATTCTGTAGGAATCTGTTTCTGTAATCCACAAGCACATGTTTACTTGAGGCTTCCTCAAAGAAACCAAGGTTGAGTTTTTTTAATTTGCATTCCTGGACCCTCTCAGATATTTGTTCTCCATGGCTGTAGGCATATGAGATAAAGGAAATCTATTTTTTTTTGTTTTTCTTTTTATATTATTTTTGCCAAAAACTATTATCAGCCCTCTTCTTCCCAGGGAATCTTTAAAAAATCAGATGTATAAACAATTCTTGATAGGAAGAAAACCCAGTTATGGTGGAATTACAAAATTACTGCTGGAACCCACAGTGTGGTAACAATTTAATATCCTGTGATAGTAAGATTTTATTTAGTATTCAGTAAATGAAATTCTTTAGTTGAGAGAACTTGACTTAATCTTTCTCTAAAAGAATGATGTCGCCATCTATTTTTGATGTTGAAGCAATATTTATATCTGTTTTTTGTTCTTCAGATTTACTACAGTAAACGGTGTTCCATATCATTATCCCACATTAGTTAAGAGGCATGCAGCTTCCTGAGTAAGGAAGGTGATAACAAATAATGAAAAAAAAAGATGGTTCAACCATTTCACCCATGAAAAAGTCATCTCATTGTATATGCAGTATTATTTCCATTGATTCACTACTTATGCATACCCAAAGTCAGTTAGCATCTGAGAACTATGTGCCACATGCAAACAAGTGGGAGACCAAGTTTTAATGAAAATTCTCTTATTATTGCATCTTATACAGACCTAAGAACCAGCAATTTTGTGTGTGTGCCAAGTATGTAAAACTACTGGCTATAGAAGCTGAATGATTTCCTGAAGAAGTCATGTAAATTGTCTGGGGTACCTTAGGACAGAAAAGAAAGACACTTGGCTTGAATTGTCCAAAAAGAATCCTGCACAAAATGAAGACAGTGACTTAATTTAATTGTGATGGGTTTTACATGTGTATCCAAATTTTAGTAAATTGATTCAGAAAAAAAAAATGAGCTCATATTAGTGGTTTCTTAATAGAGCCAAGAATTAAGCAAATTAGTGATTTGGCAAAAAAATGGAAAGTAGATAGTGGTTTTGGCAGCAATAAATAATGACCACTGCACTTAAACGGTGTTGTTAACCAGTAAATAAAACTATAACTTCTTTATAGCATCTTTGAAAATAGAAATGCAACAAATCATAATTGTTGAAGTCTGTTCATGTACTGCCTAAGGTAGTTAAAGAAAAATAAAAAGTTTGAAAACATAATTTTATAAGCCTAATATTTTGTGTCATGTTTTAAAATTGGGAATATTTCAAATAGAGTTTTTGATATATCAGTTTTCAAATTTAAATTGAAAAAAATCTCTATTTTTCAGATATAGCAACATTGTTGCATAGACTTCCAATAACATTGAGGGTATTTTTTCCACTAAACAGGGTCATATTAAAGAAATGTAGATTTCTGTGAACTTACAGCTGAGTATCAATTAACATAGATTTATTTTCATGTAGGTTTTCCCTTAATGGAATGATTGCTTGCAAGAGTGATATAAAAGTAAATCACTTAATGTATTGTGTACAGCTCCTCTGGCTGTTTTGGAATGACCTTGAAATCATGACCTTACAATTGAGTAGTCAATGGGCCCCTTCAGTTACATCATCAATTTCTTCATTTCCAGTTTTGGATCTTTGCCAGTTAGTACTATTTTTCAAGGATGTTTCTTTGAGCTGATGAAACATAACTGGATTATTTCTCTGTATTTTTTTCCTTCCATTTTCTGGGATGGTGTTTTTCATTCTTTGAGGGTTGTGATAATAGGTATAGTTTGAATTATAAACATAATGCACAACAATCACTGAAAAGACTCAGAAATCTTTCTCCAAATGTTTAACAATCCTTCCCTATGAAATGTGCTAACAGTTAATGCCTGCTTCTTTTCTATTTATATTATTGAAATCAATACATGACTTTCAGTCTTTTCTCCCCCTTCCTTTTTCTGTGACTCTTATTTTATGCATGACAAAATTCTCTCTTGCTTACTGCTGTGTTTGGCTGTCTTAACTTGAGTGTCCTGTGTTTGTAATGATTGCTTTTTGCATGAGGATTATGAAATGTCATACAAATTAAATGGTTGTGGAAACAAAAAGAAACGTGGGGCTTCACTTGCTTTTTTGTTGTGCTGAATATGTCAATAATGTGACACTTAAAATTACTTTCAAATGGCCTTTCACTTCCCCTTTGGTGTGCTCTTTTATTTTAGCAAATTAGTATTGTTAAGTATAGTAAAACATTTATTAAACATTTACAGTGTTTTAATGCAATTACTATCCTAAAACATGATTCCATTATAAATAACTATACTGGACATAAAATTGTACAAGGGCATAATTCCATTATATTACTAAATTGCTTATGAAATACAAGCCCTGACTCTGTAACTTTCTTAATAACTAAACACTGACTTCTAATGATGGTAGTTTTGCTATACAGACTGATGTGATTATCTGTTCATATTTTTGTGCAGGTTGCAAATGTCTTAAATCCACAGCTAATATTTAATTAAAACAAATGGGGAAATATTTGTTTAATGACAAGTAATTTTAAAAAGTCACAGTTTTGAAAAATGTATGATATAGAAATATGTAAAATCCAAGTGTTAATGCTTTTACCAAAAAAAAGGAGAAAAAAGAAAAAAAAAACACCGTAAAAATGTTCATATCTCTGTTTTCCCTAATGTTATTATATTGTCCCAAATTAAAGATGTTTGGCCTACTTTCTTTATTGTTGTCACCAATTCAAATTAGAAAAGACACTGAATAAATTACGTTCTTTCAGCTAAAACTGTTTACTTTTTTATATGCAGCGGATATTAAAAAAAATCATTTCCTTTGCTTATGACTTGAGTTTCAAACCATAATGTATTTTTTATGCTGGATATATTCACAAACCAAATCTTCTATAAGATATTTTGGGGAAAGGGATTCTTTTTTTTTTTTTTCTTAAACAAAATAATCAACTTTGACTTAACCACTTCCCCGCTCTTTTTGGAAATACCCTTGAGAATTTTAGTATTTACATTTATTTTTTTCCCTCAGTCTTGTTTATTCTTGAATTGTCTTTTTTTTCCCCTCCATTTCTCCGTTCTCAATCCTAGGTCCCCTTACAAAGAAACAGACAGATGATTTAGGTGATAATGACGGTGCTGAAGATGAAGGTATTTTTTTCCACCAAATCTATTTGCATGACAAGGGCCTCAATCACTTTTTCCACCCCTTTCTATTTTTTTACTTCTTGTCTTTTTTTGAAGAGTTGTTTTTAATTCCCGTTTTTGATGTGTTTTGTCTTCTTGCTTGTTGTTACATATAAATATACATTTTTAATTTTTTTTTTCAAAATGAATGTTAAGTTTTACATTTTGATGCCAACCATTGAAATGTTTTAGAAAGAGAGGCATTTTTTTTTTGTTTTCTTGAACTGACTTTTGATATGTTTCATCCCATGTTTTGACTGAAATCTGTCCATATTCTTTGAACTAACAATCTCTCCGCTGTAGTCTCTTTGTACCCATTTTGCATGTTTTCTAATCTATGTAAATATTTTACCCAATATCAAAATGTGTTTCATTTTTACATCTGATATTTGTTTAAAACAAAACCCATACCCAATAAAATGAAGGAAAACTAAAAACTGATATAAAGTGTTTCTTGAGCAAAATAATTTAGATGACCACAGTACTGCTTTCTATTAATTAGCTTTAAAAATTATGTAAATAAATTAAATTGTATAAAGGCATTCCACCTATTTAGATATTTTCTAGACAGTCAAATAGAAATCTGATTTTCAAAGTATTGCCACTGTAAGCAGTAAAATATTTCCTACTTTGCTAATATCAAAATTGTTTTCTCTTTCTAACTTTCTTATGATGTACAGTTCTGATATATTTTATAAATGTAAATACTTGCTAGATTGATTGGACATTTCTTATTCTATTGTGTACCTTTATGTAGTGTTAGGTGGAGTGTTCAGAGAGGCCCAATGATATTTTCAGTTCACTTTCATTCTAATTAGGATTATTTTTTTAAATGCTACCCTAATTATGATTCTTAGAGAAGTGACTAATGTAATCTCATGCTTAAAATTAACTCCCAGCCCTAGAAATTAAATTTTATAAAAATATTAATAATATAGGAGAATGGTTTTATACAATAAAATAAGCCACAATCAGGCCAGCAGAAATACTAGGTCCATGAGTTACAACCATGAATGAATGCATCCTTACTAAACAATTTGAATTATTTTCATTGACATATATATTTACTAAACAACTTCACAGTAGAAAAGTATAGGTGAAGTATTAAATGTTTAAAAATAATACTGTGTTTTAATATTTTATAACATTTAAGAAATATTTTGATTAAATGAATTTGATGAACTTTGATTAAAAATGTGTTTACTATGAACCCCAAAAGTGGATTAAAGATAAAACACAAAACAGTTATTAATATTTGAAATAAATCATAACTGTCCAAGAGTTATCATTTTGAATGCTAAATAGCCAAAAATAAGCTAATAATGTTAAAATACAAATTGTACTTTTTAAAAGCACTGTTGGAAATCTGAAGTTTTCAAACATTCAAGACATTTATTGACTTTGTTCTCACAGCTAAGAAGACTGCTTCCACTTAGGGGCTTTGAGATTTGTTGAAAAAATCCTTACCTCTGAAAATTCTTAACTCCAAGACATTTGTTATCTAAATAATACTTAAATATAAAGGACTACTTAGTGTGTAGCCTTGTAAACTCCAAGAAAGTACTCACAATGTTGGTACACATAATTTTCCTATTTAAAAATATTTTGATTACTGACTTAATGTACTTCTTTTCTTTTGGTAAAGTAGCATCAAGTAAGATATTTACATGTTTACAAAAGATACTTCTGAGGCACTAGAGTGAGCTAAGCACTGTAAATGTGAATCTATTTTATAGATTTATTTTGAAGCACATTTAACATTTTTTAAATAGCCATTAAAAATGTAATAAACCCCTGTTTAAATTGGCAGGTAATATTCAGGATAAGTACTGAGCCAGTCAGTCATAAGAGTTATCAAATCAATAAATATTTTAAATGCTCAAAAGTGTAGAATATAAGAGCAGTCAATTCAAGTTGAGTCTATTCCATTGTGCTGTCATTTTGGATAATTGTTTAGAAGACAAGAAAGATAAATCAATTATTTTATGATTTAAAAAAAATCCCTTTGTAGAAAAGTCTGAGCATCTACTATTGAATTTCTTTTACAATAGTTTTATAGATGTGAGTGTGAATAAAAACCAAGGCCAACTTTCACATTTAATTTGTTCCAAATTAATTTTTTTTAAGATGTTTTTATTTATTTCTGAGAAAGGGAGAGAGAGAGAGGCAGTGTGAACAGGGGAGGGTCAGAGAGAGAGGGAGACAAAGAATCAGGAGCAGACTTTAGGCTCTGAGCTAGCTGTCAACACAGAGCCCCATGAAGGGCTTGAACCCATGAACCGTGAGATCACGACCTGAACTGAAGTTGGACACCCAACCGAGCCACCCAGGAGCCCCAATTTGTTCCAAAGTTTAAATCAATATCACTAGACATAAAGCAAATAAATATCAACTACTTGATAAATTATTTCCATTTAATTTAGTCAAAAGTCTAGTTACCTATTCTCCATTACTCCCTGATAACCGAAATCTTTTACTAGATTTCAAGGTCCCTATGTCAGCCTCTGCATTCAGAGGCTACCAGAGGCATTGACTGGCATGTGCCTCTCATTCACTTAAACTGACCCACATTTTAAAAACTTTTAAATGCCAAAACCTCTAAATTATGGGCAATTAAAAACTTCATGAGTTTTGTTTTGTTTTGTTTTGTTTTTTAAAGGAAACCACTAAACTTGTTTAAGGAGTTATGTGACTAATAATTATTCATTAAGACCATTAAGGAGAAATGTGATTTCCAAACCCTGGTTGTCAGGCACAAATAAATCCCCATTAATTGCCCTAGAACTATTGACACTTGCCACATTGGCCTTAAAATTTTGGTTTATCAGAAAGATAAAATAGTTACTAAAACGTAAAATACAGACATTTATTCAGATTCCAAGTTTATTACTTTTTTTTTTTAACTTGAAACACTTAAATACTTTCTTACCATAAAAATAACCTTCCATGTAGTATTTCCTCTTTACTATTCTACTCTTTGCAGAGATTTAGATGTTTGGTAAAGCCTTAAAAAATGCACATAATGGAAAATATAAATATGTGTTATGAACTTTCATATTTTCACTGGTCCTGAGCTAGTTGTTTCTTTTTTAATGTTTATTTATCTTCGAGAGAGAGAGAGACAGAGCAGAAGCAGGGGAGGGCAGAGAGAGAGAGGGAGACACAGAATCGGAAGCACGCTCCAGGCTCTGAGCTGTCAGCACGGAGCAAGATGTGGGGCTTGAACTCATGAACCTTGAGATCATGACCTGAGCCCCAGTCAGTCACTTAACCGACTGAGCCACCCAGGTGCCCCAAACTAGCGTTTAAATCTCTGAGAGTGGTTTTGATTTTAGTAAAGTCAGTAGCAGCTGTTTAGGCAAAGTCAGAAATCTTAGGTGAAATCCACTTTATTTATAAAGAAAAATATTAGACAAGCTTTAGAAGGATGACTTAACTCTAATAAATTCATTATAAATTACTAAAAGACATTTAATACATTTGCACTAAAAATATAATGGCTCCCCCAAACTTTATAATTAAAAGAATGACATTAGTAAATAGCGTTCAATAGTGAGCTGATATATTTGTTTCACTTACAAAGATTGTTTTTAAAAATATCAAAGAAAATATAAATACAATTTAAACTCTTTATTATTATATTATGATATTACTATATTTAAACTATTTACTATTTATATTTGTATCGAAAAGACTGTATACTATAAAGAAAGTAAAGTCTAGGATAGACCACAGTGATAAAACAATATCATAGAATATCAATTGTTCTGTAATAAAATATGGCATCTTTCCAAACTTTATTAGCAATTTTATGAGTTGTTATGCACAATAATTTTACTTATTTATTGATTAATACTGCATATAGAATTAGCTTCAGGATTATATCAAGCAAAAAGAAATACTCTTCAGAACATAGCATTAGAATTTCATATAACTTTATGAAAAAAAGCCTGCTTGATATATTAAGTTCTTAGACAAGGCTGAAATCTTTCAGAAGTTTGAAAAGACAAATTGGAAATTAGAATCAGCCCAAACTATCAGTAATTTTTTCCAGTCTAATTTTCAAAGAAAAATAAAGAGATACCACTCAAAAGGCTCCTAGGATGTATTGTCATATTTTCAGTGTTTCCTGACAATGTCCACTTCATTCTGTTATTAGGTATAAAATGTGGCAAGTCTTCTCAATGTGTGCCTGTATTGTTTTCCAGGTGAACAGAATGGTTCTACCAAGATTTCATTACTGTTCACAGTTGGTGCTTTGTAATTCTATGTAATTTTAATTAAAGAAGAATTCTGAAACAGTCTCCCTCTGTGCTACCTACAAGCATACAATTAGCAGAGTACAGTGTCTGCTGTGAGCAGTCAGTTAATGATTTCAGTTTAATAATTTATTATTGCTTCTTCAGTGCCAACCATACTAGAAAAATAAGTGAAAATTGTATGCAGCAAACAGGCATTTAAAAATGGAGGATAGTTTAAAAATTTCCAAAGGATTGTTTTCTCTGTGTAAGCCTAACATCTCCACAAGCCCTCAAATCTTTACAAATGAGTGAATACCATTTTCCCTCACAAGGATTTAAGGAGAAAACAAATGTTTTTCTTCTAATAATAATAGATTTTTCTTCTAAATGTAGCTGTGTCTGATGGATAGCTTCTATGCCAAAGTATCTTCTCACCACTTAAAAGTAAGATATACTTCTCAAGTACACCCTTGGGAGTGGCAGGCTTATGGTAAATTTATATACTGGTATTAGTCAAATTTAAAATAGTCTTTTTAAAAAGTCTCTAAATACTGCAATGAGCTTCTTTGTCCAATTTGAAAATCTGGACAAACGTGTTGAGCTGCAATTCCTGATCCTAAAGGATTTTTCATTTAAGAAAGTCACTTTGTTATTACAGTAGAAAAATTGAGATATTAGTCATCCTTTTCACAGGAATGTAAACCAGCACCTAAATAATCACCAGACTTTTCAATGAGTTAGTATTCTATTAGTCCATTCTGAAAGCAGAAACCTCAATTGTAAAGATGTAGGAAATATAAGTTTGACAAAAAAATATCAAAAGCTAAGGAACAAAACTAGAATTTTAAGTGACACTTTTAACATTGGCATTAACAAGAAGATAATACACTTGATCTAATTCTGTTTCAATTGTAAGTAGAAGAGATAATGAGCTATTATAGAAGAGTAGTGTTTTATATATGTATATATAAATTCATAATTATATACATACATATATAATATTTCAGTATATAATAGTTATAACCAGGTTTGCCAATATAAAATTAAGCATGTATTTCTCAAGAAATTAGGGCATTCTTAATACTTATTAAAATTATCTTATGGTTCCCTTATATATTATTTCTAGATCCTTATTGAAAACTACAAAATTTGGGAATAGTATCTTACAAAAACAAGCACAGTTGATTAAAACTCAGAGCTGTAGAAATCACTTTAACATCATCTTAAGTTTTGGCACTTCACACCTGGACTTAGCTATATTCTGTTTCATGTGTACATGACAAAATCAGACAGCCAAAGTAGGACTAACAAGAGTATAATATTACACAAAGAGGTGAAAAAATATAATTTAGTCTATTTCCTTCTTCCAAAGGGTAGGGTAGGTGGATTGGACAAATAACCCAGACTTAACTAAAAAACATCATTTAAGTGACATCCTCTACATGCAAAAACTAAAATGGGAGACTTTACTACCCAGACACTCATCTGAAAATTAATACTAGAGTCATGAAATGAACTTCCTGCAACCCATAACACAGTTTTATAATTATGTTCACAAATTAGAGCAGAAATTATTTAATATAATTATGATGCATTTAATAAAATCTTTATAGTAAATAAGAAATGGAAAAACATAGTGTTTTATTCAAAATAGCAGCAATAGCATTGTCCTTAATATATGATTCATAAATTGCATATGAGATCCAGGACATTTAAAGGCAACAGCTCTAAGAGTGATTATCATTCTTTTTGTTCTACTGTAACTTTAGAAATCAATCAAAAAACACTAACATTCACACCTATTTTCAATTTGTCCAAATTTTGAAATTCAGATTATAATTTTAAACAGAATTTCATCTAGAACACAGTGGATATCTATTGCTTTTTTTTCACAATAGCTCATTATATGAGTTGCTGAAGAAACACTTTAACAAAACAGCAATTTAAAGAACTATATTAAAATCATGCTCTTTTGTCCCTAAAATGGAAAATTTATTCTCTACCTCATGATTTGTGTTTTTTTGAGGATAAGAACAATTGCCAACCATTTGTTTTTCAGATATTCGGGACAGTGGGGGTCCCAAACCAGTGATGGTGTATATCCATGGTGGTTCATATATGGAAGGTACTGGAAATTTATATGATGGGAGTGTCTTGGCAAGTTATGGCAATGTGATCGTCATCACAGTCAACTATCGACTTGGGGTACTTGGTAAGAAGTCTCTTCTTTTCTTTTCACCATTAATCCATGAAGTATGTGACAGTTTTGTTTTTGACTTGTTTTGTTTCGCTTTGCTTTGTTTCCCTCATTGTTCTATGCTTGTTGATTTTGTTTGAACCAAAGTTTTTGATATTTTTAATAAATTCTGTAAGTCCATTCATAAATACATGATGAAAAACAGGGTAAATTCTTAAATTTGAAGGTAAAATGTAGCGAAATTATTCACACTGTTGAGTCATGTTTTTCCTGGTTTCCCTTTATAGAACTGTGAAAGGCAACAGAGTCAGGGCCTTTCAAAAGGAAAATTAGTCCCTGGACAAATTTTTCCTTCTACTTTTCTTTTTTACAATGCCATGAAATTGCCTGAAATTTGACATGAGCTTAGAAACAAGTTTATAGTCTCTTTGAGACTATGTGGATGGACTGGCTTTGGGGAATGATTGTCTGTCCTTGTGGTATAGGTTTGGGTTTTTAAAAAGTTGGTCAGATAAGAATTAAAAATATTTGTCTAAATGTATTTATATTGAAATATTTGATTTGGAAAACATGCATTATCAGAGAGTCATAAAGAGTTCAAGGCAATACTGTATATATATGTAAAACAAAACCAAATTGGAGATCATTGGTTTGAAGAAAATTATAGGGAAATATTATTTTCAAAATAACTTATCAAGTACTCTGAGACATTGTTTTATGTAATAACTTAACCCATTATTAAAGGATAAACTTGATATTCTACTTGTGTAAGTTTATGTTCATGCTATTGCCACAATTTTAGGAATGAAATTACTTTATCATTTAATAAAACACTTTTATTGTGGTATTTTAGTTAAGAGTATTTCCTGAAAGAGTACAATTGATCACAAAAGATTTTATCTTTTTAATCTTAATTGTTCTTAAAGTCTTATCACATACTATACACTTTTTAAAGGTATACAATTTATACTGCTACTTTCACAGAAAGATGCACCTCACTCTCATTCTTTAGAAGATTTTAGAAAAGGAAATTAAGTTAGATTTTCTTTTATAATAATCGTTCATATCATATATTTGGCCATTGAAAATCAGTGTTGTTTTTCCTCTTCACTGTTGGTTACTTCTATGTAATCATAAGCGTGTGTTCATGCCACTCTCAAAATATAAAAAAAGAATATTTTTTTTCAATTGAGTTTGTATGTTTTGGGGAAGGGGATACAATGCCTTGCAAAGTGAAATCTTGATCTTTTCCTAGTTTTCTATTTTGAATTTGGAGTATGTTGGAAAATAGGTGTAACATGGCAAATTTAGTTGTCAGATATTTCTGTAACATTTTTCAAGTACACTTTAGTTTCCCATAGTGTCTAATCAGGCATTGCTTCCAGTGTTCTTAAAATTTCAGTTGGTGGGAATGTGTATTTTCCCACCAATGAAAACTGTATATTAGAAAGATATATAAAGAGATGTTCATAATCATCTTCTTAATTTTAAATATCTTAGTGTTGTCATTTGTTTTTATGCAACTTTAATGTAAGAATTTTCAATATTTTAATACATTTAATTTTAATTATTTAATACATTTAATTATTTAATTTCAATTGACTTTAATACATTTAATTTTAAGTATTATTTATAGCTTAGTTGCTTATATTGTTATATTTATGTTTTTTATGAATTTCTCAAGTTGAAAATTCTGAAGCAGTCACGAGTTTGCCAGTTGAAAATTAAAATTAAATGCCAAATTGTTACAGCAATGTTTTCAAGGACTTGGCCGTCCACTTAATCATATATATTTATTTAATTAAAAAAATCTTTTGGCCACACCTTATGTTGCCTCACTTTGTTTAATTGTACTCACATAAAGTAAGATTCCATAAATCAAGCTGCTAATTTACTAAATCTTTGCCTTTTTTTTTTTTTTATGTATTCAGAACTGATGAGGACTTGACTTTGGTCCAATTTGAATCCTGTATTTGTGCTCATATCCTATCTCTAAACACCATGCTCTGAATGACTGAATTGCAGGGCAGTAGATTAACCAGCTAAAAAATGAAGAAATTGGTCAATTGCTTGGTCTGTAAAATGGCAAGCAGAGTTGGTGTTGATGATGGATGATTTTTCTCAGTGCTACATATTCTGCTGTACTACAGTTTAGGATTTAACTTTCAGGTGGCTCCTTTGTTGCTCACTAATAATCAGCATTAAGAATCAGGTGTCCTTTCTAGACCTCTCAACATGATGAAGCACAAAACTCTGTTGGTGAACAATTTTAGATGCATTTTGGAACACTAGTTCTGGAGCAGGTATATTCTGGTCACTTTGTTCCTAGAGTATGTATCGGGGCTTTGTGAAAATAGATTTAAGTGAATTAATTCATGAAAACTAAATTATTGAAACATTTGTTTCAGTACACTTTGCATGTGTGGTATACAACAAGGTAAGCCATGTTTCTTTGGTATGGGATCCAAAATTATTGCTGTTTAGTTTGCATGTGGGAGAGTATTGGAAATTAAGTAGAAGATAAGATTTGGTCCCACATCAGAGGAAATTCTGATCTGTGTTTCGGTTTGGATGCTTTGGTATGAAGGATATGAATTTGGGGGTTCAATGTACAATTTGGCTAATTACAAAACTGTTGCTCTCAGAGGATTGGCAGAAATAATTGAGATGTCTGAAACAGGTAATGTAATTAGTGTTGATTGATCTTACTATCCCAGAGGAAAAATATTACAGGCTTTATTTGTTTGTTTGTTTGTCTTAGTAATAACTACAAATATGACAGTATTTTGGTAATAAAATTTATACAGCTATCTAGAGGCAAGGTTTCAGTTTAAAGCATTTCATGTTGAAAATAAGATTTTGTTCACTGCAAAGTAAACTGGAATAGAAGAAAAAAGATCTCCTGTTACAATATCGTTTTGATGAAGTTAAGAACAAATGGGAATTAGTTTATCAACCCAGACCCTTTTGTGGTTTCCTTTGGAGTGATAATATAGGCTATCACTATTTTGATAGTAAGAAAAATTGCTAATAAGATTGAAAAAAAGGAGAGGGGATAAAAAGGTTGAAAAAAAAAAAGGGAGGGCAGGGCTCTGCCTGTTAATCTCACTTCCCTGTTTCCTCTCTGAGCCCTTTGCAACCTTATCTCATTCAGTATACTGAACAGTTAGACTTTCTTTCACTTCTAGTTGTATACATTCTTTGTCCTCAGCCAGCTTTAACTCTTCATTTTCTGTTATTTAGTACGTTGTTGCATAGTTCTTTAAAATACATTTAAAATCACTGTTAACAGACTTATTTTTAACATTATATATAATTTTTTAAAACCATAAGGTAAAATTACCGTAATGGAAATTTAAGGAGAAGTGTTTTGATTACATTTCTCAAAAGCCTAAAAGGGGGAAATAATATTAAGTATTATGGTTGTAAATAAGATAAACATATGTACTTAAGAGCAAGAACCAGAAGGAAATATGAAAAAAATTACACACTATTAGGATGGGGTATTGTGCAATTAACACTTGAAAATAGAAACTAAATGATATATTTTCACATCTCAAAACTGAAAAATATATTAACTAATTTAGTGTTAAAAATGTGTTTCAACTGCCTCTTTAAATTTAGAATAAATTTAAGAGTTATTTTTAGAGAAAATGAAAAAATTTAATACCACTATTAGGATCTAATTTAGGCAAACACGATTTTTATCTGGTGGAAATTTAATATAACTTTGATCTTTATATGAATATTTTGGAGGCAATTATGTGTTCATAATTCTAACCTGCATGATTTAGACTAGAAAACATTTGTTTTAAAAATTTTAGAAGTACTAATATCTATCTGAAATTTGGAGAGTTTTAGGAATCTAATGTCTGAGGAAAAAGTTTGAAGAGTATATACTTATATTTGAAGAATTGTAAGGCTAAGTCATTTAAAACACAAATTTTTGTGTGTGTTTTTTTTACTTTACTGCATATCAACTTTAATGAACACCTGAATTAATTTTTATTCTGTTAGAAATGCCTAATGAGATTTGTTGATTCTTATAACTATATTATCGACCTTATGATAATACTTCAAGTATTATTAGACAAGTGACAGAAGTAAATATAATGGTGGTGGTGCCCAGTTATCAAATATACAATGTTTGCTCCAATAACATACATCTTCTATAAAAAGTAAGAACAATATAGTGCTTATTTTTAGGCAGTTTCAATCTAATAGAGCAGAGAAGTAAACATTCACTAGAAAACAATAATTGACATTCCGTTTCATATTTATAATAATATTTTTATAATAATTTTAAAATGCAAAGAATATCAGATAGATCCCTATATATGCAGTGATTGAGATTCATTTTGAATCTGAGCAGTCTAGCTTCAAGGAGACTTGGTAAAGTCTAGGTTATGCTTATGATTTAAAAAAGAAAATCATATTGGGGTGCCTGGGTGGCTCAGTCGGTTGGACCACTGACCTCTGCTCAGGTCATGATCTCACAGTTTGTGAGTTGAAGACCCACGTCGAGCCCTGTTTTGACAGCTCGGAGACTGGAGCCTGCTTCGAATTCTGTGTCTCCCTCTGTCTCTGCCCCTCCCCTGCTCATGTTCTATCTCTCTCTCTCTCTTTCTCTCTCAAAAATAAATAAACATTAAAAGAAAAAAATTAAAAAGAGAAAAGCTTATTAATTTATGAAGCAGTACAATATTTTGTCATTAGGCTTGGTTTTTGTTTTGTCTTTTTTTTGGCACTGTTTTTATTTTTGTTTGGCTGTAAATCCTAAAACAGAAAAATAAACAAAAATCTTTAAATATGACCTTAAATTTGAGAGCAATATATAGTAAAATATTAAATTTTATAAGATGATCCAAATATTTTCTTGGGAGGTAGAAGAGGGAGTCAGGCTGTCCTTGAAGAGTCAAAAATGTCTTCATAAGATTGGTTTTATTTCAGTAAGATCATGAAGAGTAGATTATCTCTGGGTTTAACTGAAGGGACGAGAAAAGCACTTTCAGTGT